ACAATATTGCTGCAATTAAACACAAGTGTCAAGCTGTACATTTCAGTTTTACGAGGATAGCCTTATATGTGAACATTTTTATTGATATTATCAATTAATTTCTAAGATTACGTGTCCAGAAAAATTACGAATTTAGATAATATATATGACACTATAAACACAGACAGAAACCGGAAACCTGCATTTTTATATTATGAGTAAAAATAAATGATTACTTCCGAGCGCAAGCTAAGGAATTACGGTAATAGTGTCCATCCAATTTTCTCAACGTTTCATAACCCCCAGAGTACGAAAAAATAGATCCATCTTCCCGTCTGTCTGTCTGCAATCCGTCTGTGTCCATTTTTATTAGAAAGATACTTTCCGGAACTACTGGACCAATTGTTAACAAATTATGAATATCGTCTAGATCATAAAACGCTTACAAAATATTATACTTCTACACTTGTGGTTTATGAATCCTCTTTAAGTTTTAATTACAATTACTTTACAAAAATGTTTGCGCATCGCTGCGTGTTTCATATAACAAACAGTATCTCACGTGCGGAACAAGTGTGTCGTAACCGTGCTAGTTAAGAGGTGAAGTCTGCACGCGTCAGTTCAAATCCTGGTTGACACTTTTTTTTAAATTATTTTAAATAACTTTAGACCAATGTTTTTTTCTTGTTCTAAAAAATATAAACTGTTATGTTATAAATTAGCGGTTGTCACATTTGGGGTGTTTCAATAATTTTTACTACCCGAGCATAAGTTAAGAAAGTATTGTAAATAGGGTCCTCTATACATAAATATTTTAGAAATCTCATGTATACATCTAAATATTCTATATCATCCTCATCAACAATATTATAAAATTTTGTATGTGTCTACAGTAAATTTCATTTAAATTTTATAAAATAATAACATACCTACTCCTGCACTTGTGGTTTATGAATATGTCTTAATTTTTTACCGGAGATTTTGGAAAAAAAAATTATAATTTAACATCGAAAATGAAAAACCGAATGCTCTGAAATCTTGGAAATGTTTTAAGAAGTTATCATAAGCATGGTAAATTGTTAATCAAAATTTACTCATTAAACCCTTCCCAAAAATTATTATTGACTCCATCTCAAAATTTTGCCGTCCTATCTAAGATGTCCATACTTCTGGTTAATCATATACATTTGTTATTATTACTTACCCAGGGTGACCCAAAATAATGAATGAATGAGCCAATCTATTTTATTGATCAAATCAAGAACAGCTCTCTCCGTTTCCCAAAAAATGTGGAAATACAGTATTGTTATTAAAAAATGCTCATGACGTCATCACAAAATTTTATAAATAAACTTCGCAAAATCAAATTTTGTACTTTTTCTAAAGAGTAGGATTTCTTGTATTGTACTTAAGGGGCGAGAAAAGTTCTGACCATTTTTTTAAGATGAAAAATATTGTTTTAAATCATGTTATATGAGTTTTTAACTCGTGTCTTGGTGAATCAAAATATTAGCAGTGTAAACAGTAATTTTTATGTTGTCGATTATTTAGAAATGTGCTGATAAGAACTGGGGAAAAAGTAAATAACACTCTCAAGATTATTGTTATTCAACATACCTTGTAAAAAAATTAACGACTTTGCCCCCACATAGTTACTTTTTCATTTTATTAAGAAAATTGGTCTAAAGTTACTTAAAATTAACTTAAGATAATGCGCTTTTGATTTAACTATAGAATGAATTTTAATCAAGTAAGTAATTTTTTAGACACCCCACATAAACAATTCTAAAAATAGCGGTGAATGAAGAAAATAACTACATGGTTGTGGTGACCGAATTTGAATCAAGTTTTCGCGCAGAAATTAATTAACAGCGGCGCGAAATCACATTTGAATAATTTGATTTTGAGAAAAAAATTCAATCAAAAAAATCGTTAAACATAGGCCTTGTGCACGTTTAGTTCTTTTCCTAGTAGTTGGTAGCTCGTTAGGGGATGTTAGTTAGAGGGTTGGTTTGTAGACAAGATGACGGCATGGCCAAAGCATCAGTCTGGGTGTGTTTGTGTGAGTGTAACCACGTGGTAAGGTAGCTTGGTTGGTTTAGTTGGTTTGGTAGTTCATAAAAGGGAGGAAATTGTTTAACGACAATTAATCGTAACGATGACGCCACAATTTTCCCCCCATTTTTTAACCGAAGCCGACACGTGTAAATTTAATTCATTGTTTGTAAATTCACCGATCAGATTAGGATTTTAATCGTTAACTGGTTTTAACACAATTTAACAGACATTAGATTTGTTTAGACAGACACTTGCTAGGAGATTTCATGGAATTCACTGAGTCAAGACTCGTTTGATTTTGTTTGTCTAATTACGAATAAGTTTCTGGATGCTGATACGTAAGTGTTACATTATAACACTTCGAAATTCTTCACACAAGATCGCTAATAGTTCATTAACGGCGGTCAAATTAACAAAATTCATCATATCGTGAACTGGGGGGGATTAAAACAATTTCTTCCAGTTCAGGCAGTTATCATCGTTATCATCATTACACCACCGAGGCATTTCCTAGCAACGTTAAAGATTGATTACATCACCGAGGCATTTCCTCGCAACGTTAAAGATTGATTACATCACCGAGGCATTTCCTCGCAACGTTAAAAATTATATCACCGAGGCATTTCCTCACAACGCTTAAAAATTACATCACCGAGACGCTTTTTCCTCGCAACGCTGACTAGATATTTTTTGTGTTTATTTATCATGTGTCTTGTTTGGGGTAAGCAGTTCACGATATTAAACCTCAAAACAAATTATTTAAGTAACCAATCACTTGGATTATGGCATAATGTAACATAATATAAATTCTTTGTTTGAATCATTGATAAAATGTGGCAAATATTAATCTAATGTAAATTTGTCAGTTTTGCAATTTTTCACCTGATACAATTTTTCTCTATCTCATAATTTTAGCCTCAGTAATTTTCTTTGTTGTATAATTTAAATTGAACGTAAATTTCTATGCTCTGCAGTTTTAACCTCACGTAATATTTTTATTTGCACAAGTTTATTTCACACCATATTTTTTTGTTTTCATAAATCTTTGCTAGTTATTTTATGTAAATATTTTGTTGATAAATGTTTCCATCGTATAAATTATCTGATGTCCAATATTAATCTCAAATAAGAATTATTTGTTGTTTAAAATTTCATAAGATTGTATGGCGAGTTTAAATGTTGTTTATTGCTCTTTTAAAACTTTAACACTTGTTCAGTTGTCGTTAATATCCGAGTCATAGAAATTGAACATTTAAAATGGAATTGAGGTAAATAACATCGATATACGTGGCAGAAGTGGAATGCGCGGTTCCTAGTCGAGCTGGCAACATTTATCACGCCATCTGTACACAAGATGGAGGCTAGAATAGAATTCAGGGGCGGTCAAGATGACGTAACGCTGCCGGCTTCTGTACTTAGCCGGGACCCAACTGCGAGTTTGCGGCCGTAACAGCCTGCACGTACGGCTTGTGTAATCGCTGTGTAATCAGTCGTGTAAATTTGAGTTATTGAGAAATAAATTGTTGAGTTTTACCCACGCCGATTTTAAGTCACCGATCATCGTAACAAACTATTTGAGTTGGCAATAGATTTATCTAATTTTGAAACATTTTTCGTGCTGCTATTGCCAAACCTAATGAAAATGCTTGGAGCTATGTCATTTTGAAGGGGTCAAAAAATTAGGTTATGACATTTTAATAATAGTTAATAACAAATTTTAACTGAAATTAAATGTCACTGTCAACAATGCCAATTTTGACAACAGGAAATAAGATGGGGGTGGTGGTTCTACCAATTTAAGCAAAATTTTTTCACGGTAACTGAAACAGTATTTTTCCTTTGTTCAATAAACAGTTCTTAAGAACGTATCATTGAGTAAGTGCGTCCTGCATATTTTTAATTATAATTATAATTGTAATTAATTTTTTTTTTTTTTGAAATAGGGAACTTAACAGCTATGAAATTCCAATTACTGAGTTCGACAATGTCAAAGAGTTATGTAGTCAGAACTGCCCTCGCTTCTGAAGTACACTGAAACAAATACAGTTTCTTCAAAAAATAATACAATTTCATTTAGTGAATTTAATTTATTTAAAGCAGATACGAGAATTTACCTCCTTTTTCGTACTCTGGGCATCATGAAATGTCGAGAAAACGTGAAAGAAACCAGTCGCCCTATGACAATATTTCCTTCTCTTTCGCTTGGGTATTAAAAATAATTTGTTCTTTGTTGTTACTTCTCGCAAGTGTTAATTAAAGGGAATAACAGAACTAAACATGAGTTCCTACTTTTTTATTTGGAAAATTATAAAAAATCAGCTACGCAAAACCAATACCACAGTTTACTGCCAGACTATAAAAATCATTTAAATTTATTAGTGTAACATGAGGTGAAAAACCGCAATTTACCGCAGTTGGTATGATTGATTTAAAACTGGCATCGCTTCAAATTTCAAGCACGTTTATTCATCAGAGAGGCTTACCGTCACGTAACATGACGGGACATCAAATGACAAGATATGACATAACAAGTAGTCAGGTTTGATCCCTCTGGACTACTAGTTTTAATGTGTTTATAGTTGACGTAATATTACTTTTAAATCAGTGATGCCAACTGCGAAGTTTACCACATCTCAGAAAGGCAGTATACTGTACACTCTCTTGTTTATAACAATAATACCTACACCGTTATCAAACCAAATAATAAGTATTTCAAACTTATTACAGGATTTTTTAAAAACATAACTTTTAAAGTGTACCCTCTATTAATGTATTGAAATAATAAACTCACGAACTTTTAGAAATGAAATTAACCGTTACCCTTAAAACGTAATTAAAAAAATTTAACAAAGTTCAGCAGTATCTTCACTGTTGTTCCACTTATTAAACTTCCGTAAACAATTAAACATTCAGTTCATTCTTTCATCCATCTCTCATCTCTAATCTCCATTTACGTAACTCACCGGTAAGGTTTTATTATTAGGATCAACCAAACTATCAGCTACAGAAACCCTCCCATCTCGTACAACTTTCTGCAACACCAAACAGTACGAGCCCAACAGTCGATCGGAGAAAAGCCGATTCCTCGAATACAGTTCTACCAACAGCAGTTCATTTTCTTCGATAGGTCTTGCCACAGGCCAATCCAGTATCTGCAAACAAACAGTACAAATTTACTTTATGTTAATGGAAACTTGCAGAATTTAAAACCACTGTCAAACAATTTCGCATAAAAATTGCGTGTCTGGGGAATGTTTTATTGATAATAATTTTCAGATCTTAATCTGTGTGGTATAAAGTGTTGTGCATTTTTATTGGAGACGTATTTAAATGTGAGATAAGAATAAGATGGATCGCTGTGCGCACGGGGTAGCAAAAGCTATTGATCGGTCACCCGGTGTAAATTGCAAAAATTAACCCTCAAGACCTGTACTAATAAAACTGTGTAATCCACACATTTATTATTTCCGTAAGGTCGTGAACTATAAAGATAACAGATTGTTCACGGAAATAGAAAACATATTTTTCGTTTACTTGATTACCCACTTAAGTTGCACCAACACCGAAATTTACTTCTAAAATACACGTAACAACGCCCCAAAAACAACTGTGTGACGTTCATTGTTAATTAATACGTCGGTGTTGTGGGAACAATAATGTCTTTGAATTATCATCGTCAGACATGCTCAGACTCCATTCTTGTTGCAAGTTGAACGTCAGTTTCAAGTTATCCTGTTCTCCAATATTGGAACTTCATAGACACCATTGTTTCCCGTCTTTATGGTCCGTTACATTCTGTTCTGGTCCTAAACTCTCCAGAGCAAACGTTAAGTGTAATTAGTGGCGCTACCTGTTAGTTTTTACGACAACGTTGTCTTATATTCTGGCCTACCTTCATATCTTAATTAAATGTATACAAAGGGGTGATTTAAAATCTCCGTCACTATCGTCCTTTATATAATGTTAATAGAGCGCTGCTTAAAATATTCATTATTAGTAGTCACGCTCGACCATCAACAGCACAGAAAAAATACAGAAAATACTTTAATGGATTTCCTTCTAGGTTCTGAATATTTAATCTGACGTGACTTTGTTCAACTTAGAAGTCTTGTAGAATGGAGGAAGTAAAAAGCACTCCACTCAGATTGCTCATATTTGAGATTTCATATAGTAAATCCGTGTAGCGCCAAATAAAAAATGCATGCTCTTTGCAGATTGTCCGTTGTTGACAGGATAGAGAAAATTGAAAACTGTTCCAATTAAAACTGAATTTTTGAATTATTCAAAGCTAATTAAAAGGGGCAATGGAATTCTATTTCTGAAATGGTATATAAATGTAAAGCTGATTAGTGTTATATCTCTAACTTCATTAATTAAAATGACCTCATTTTTAATACATTCCAGCCTTTGTGTTCTAGTTCACAATAAACCTGGTTTTGATTATTTCATTTGGCTGATATTATCGCAATATAATGTAATTTTCTGTTTAATACACCTACTCGCACAGGAATGAAAATTGAACAAAGAGATATAAATTTACTCTCGTTAATGAGATGTAGTTTTAAGCACAGTGTGGGGAACTGGAGCAAAGGTAATGAATATTTTGGTGTAACCCTAAAGCGACGTGATTTCTCTGGTGTATTTTGATGAGAAAGAGGTTGCAATTTACGCAAAAATTGGAAATCTGTAGTAGATTCTTCAACTTAAATAAGTATTTGAAATTTGTGTTACGCTGGTCTTACTCTTAATAAACTAGGATAAATTGTTATATCATAATTTTGATTTTTTTGAGGAAAATCATGATGTTTAGGGTAAAATCTTAGAGCAGATTCATAAATCAAGGATAGGAGTATGCTATATTATAAAATGGGGATGACTAGACAAATTTTAGTTAGCATCTTACCATAACACGATATTCCTAACATATATCTAAAATTTGACAATAATCGGTTCAGTAGTTTTGGAGACTACACAGTCAGACCGAAACACCAGACCTACACTAGCTGTCATGAAAAGTCGAGATCCTATTACAATATACCACGTGCTTCTTTTATTTGATACAACCCCTATAACTTTTTGATTTTTAAAGATAAACATATAGTTCTTTGAGCAAATTTGTATTATTTTAAAAGATCACTCATGTGAATAAATGATAAGGTCCCACCATTTTCTCTTTTTAGAAAGCATCAAATAACATACTTCTATTTGTAGTTTATGAATCCGAATTGATTTTTTATTCTAGGTATCCAGACTTTAGGGCAGTCGAAGCGTACATAAAGAGAGAAGGCATTTTTTTTTTCTTAAACCGTGACTCCTATTATTTACTTTTTTATAGAAGTAATCGCAAAAAACATTATAATTTTTCTAGCAGCGGAATTTGTCGGACTCTACTTCAGCTCCGATAAGACTAATTTTACCAAATGATCTATTGTCTAAGAAGTTTAATTAAATTATTATAAGGAAAGACACTAGAGGCTCCAACCCACTTTCAAATTCTTTCCAAACAGGAATATCTAGAACTTCAAGATTGTTTTAAATTAAAAAAAAAACGGGGTACCGAAATTAATTCAAAAACTGGTCAGGTCACAATTTTCCAAAAATAGAACACCAAAGTCCCCCAAAATTGTTTTAAACAATTTACAAAAAAAATCTCCATGGACTTTCAAAATGATACACCATGGGTACCCAAGAGTCTCCCGAATTAATAAAAAATAACACTGCGGTACTCGAGATTCTTTCAAATTCGTAAAAAATAAAACACTAAAAGCTTAAAAGGTTTTTCCTTTTTTCCGATTTCTTTAAATTTACAATTTTAGACCTTTTAAGCTTCTTGTCGAAATAAGTCTACACATATTAAGAAAACAAGGCAAAATGTAGCCGCGCCCACCCGCCCTAACTCGATTGTGATGTTTTTTTTATTCGTCGCGAGCCAAGAAGGCGGAGCTTAACTGCAAAATCCTTAATTCTCCACGAGAAATTAAAAACATATGTTTCGGTATCGCGTTGTTCAAAGAATACTATATTATCTATATCAAGAAAAAAATAAAGCCAACGATTAGGCCCCACCTATATCCGCCCCAAGCTCAATTCTCAATTGTGATGAAATTTTCATTCGTTGTCAGATCGAGGGGCCGGGCTTAATTGCAAGATTGTCTACAAACATGTTTTAAGTTTCTTGTTCTAAAAAGACGACTACATATATTAAGAAAAAAGACAAAATATAAATAACGCCCACCCACCCTATCTCAATTGTGATGATTTTTTGTAATTGTCGAGAGCCAAAGAGCGGAACTTAATTGCAAAATCCTTTTTATTTCTCTACAAGAAATTACGATGTAGGACGAAATTAAACCCAAAGATTAATCCCCACCCATACCTGCCCTGATCTAAATATCTAAAATGAAGTTTTAATTCGTTGGCAGACCTAGGGGTGGAGCCTAATTGCAAAATCCATTTACCATTTTAAACGTATTTTAAGTTTCTAAGAATAAAAATAATCATCAGAATTGAGTTGGGGTGGGTGGGTGGGGTTCTATAATGTTCCTTGTTTTCTTAATAAACATAGTATTCTTTCACGTTACTCAAAAACATGTTTTTAATGTCGTGCAGAGAAATAAGTAGTTTGTAGTTATGCTCCGCCCTCTTGGTTCACGGTGAATAAGAAAAATAATCACAATGGAGATGGGGCAGGTGGGCGGGCTTACATTTTGCTTTTTTGTTTTAACATGTGTAGACTTCTTCTCACACCGTGAAACTTAAAACATGTTTAAAATGGAAAATTTGTTTAAGGAAATAGGCTCCGCCCCATAATTGCAAAATCCATATTTCCTTGCTAAAATGTACCTTTTTAACCATGTTTTAAGTTTTTTGTTGTGAAAATACAAGCCCCGCCCACCCGCCCTCTCTCAATTCTGATGATTTTTTTTATTCGTCGTAAGCGGAGGGGCGGAGTTTAATTGTAAAATCTTTATTGTTTTACGAGAAATTACCATGTGAAATATGTTCTTAAGTAATTGTGTTATACAAAGAGAACTAAATGTATTAATTAAAAAAAAAACCGCTATAGGCTGCAGAAAATTGTCATTTATAAAGTCAAGTTGCCGTCGATAGTAACTTTGATGTTTAACTTTTGCCGTATTTAAAGGGGTTGTAGAAGAAAAGTGGTGGATTTAAATTTCTTGTTGCCGAAATAAGTCTACACGTATTAAGTAAAAAAAGGCATAATGGAGCTTAAACATGTTTTAAGTTTCTTGTTTTTAAACTAATTTTGTTCACATTTGTAACTTCTACTATTTTTTTAACTAAATTTCAGGAACATCCAGATTACTGAAATTTTAAGACTCCTGAAGAATTTCTGTTCTATCTCTAAAAATTTTTATTTTTGTAATTTCGTTAATTTTATTGTGAAAAATGGGAGAACTTTACCTTGAGTTAGAAAACTTTATAAAAATTGTAATATTGTTAGTGTTTCTGCTGGAAATATCGTGCAATATAATAATAATAAAATATTTTATGGCATCCCCTGAAAATTGTTTTAGTATTGTCATTTAAATTTTATAAATAACATACTCCTGTACTTGTCGTTTATGAATCCGTCTCGATTTTTATCCTAGGTATCCAGATTTTCACAAAAAAATCCAAATTATATAATGACATTTTATACCGATATAAAAGCACTGAAGTGTGGTGAACTCGCTGCTTCAATTGACTCATGGGTACAATTTTTTTTAGTGGTTAAATTTGGGAATCTAGCAATGTTGCTGCCGCCTATATTCAATAATAACATATTTTTCTTTTTTCGAAGAAACTGTATTTGTTCGAAAATACTTGAGGGGCGAGTCTAAAATTTGTATTTTTTCACAATTTTAACTTCTACCTTAGACCCATTTTCTAAAAATTCATATACATATCATTATTTTGCCCCGTTGGACATTAAACTCTTACTAATTTAATTTGATAATACTTATAAAATTGTTTTTGTGTTATAAAGGGACGATATTGGTTTTTTTCATATTTCATCAGTTTAATTGCCGATTTTATTTTTAACATTCTTGGATTTCAGTTCAGTTTACACCTAAAAATCATTTTGTAGTGAACAGTGTTATGTTTAATACAGTTACTTTAATGCCACTTGTTTTTGACAAATTGTAAG